GCCATTTCCGCTACTTGCTTTACAAGTTAAAGAGCAAAATCGTGTAATGATAATGCTGTTAAGCCTAGCTAAAAAGAAAATCGGTCTGGAGCAATGATTCCGGGATTATTGGTTTTGATTAACATCGGCGATAAAGGCTAAGCGACGTTTTGGCCGCGTTTGCAGAGCAAATTGAATTCAGGCAAGCTGCGCGTTAAACCGACCCTAGGAAATGTTGAGACTTTGATCCGGTATGACTAGGGTATTTAATTAATTAATTAATGATCTGATTAATCTAATTTAACCAGCGCGAAATTGAAACGGTTAATTCGAAGGTATTAAAATCATGAAATTCTTTTCATCACAAAATATCGATGTGCTCTGATCCATATTGAATGTTTAGATAGCAATGTATATACATGTATTTGAATATCGATTTAACCGCTCTTTAGTGCGATTCACCATTCAATCACATTAAATGCAATCTAGGGATAGGCTTTTAAGACTTCTTATGATAACAGCTATCAGTAGCATCTACCGACTAAAAATAAACAGACTTTATCTACCTATATATACGAGTGATGACTGTGAGGGGACGGGATTCGTGTTTAACTCAATAAGGCAAGATAGCGTTGATGAGTTTGGTCACGGTATCGGTATTGATTGAATCTCAGTGCTGACAAATACGATTTTTTATTGGTGAATATAGGTCCACGGACACGGTGGTAGCCTACGTCCATACCACTTATACCTAGTACACTTCCGTGTGTGTGATCTTTGTCGTAGAGGACAAGGCTCCGATTATCCTATTCATTAAGGGATACAAACGTGACATTGAATCAGATCACGCCTCGATATGATGACATGAACTGTCAACTAGGTACTATAGACACGAGTCAATCAGGGAATGTTGTTTTATCATTAAAACCTTCATTGTTAGCCGTAAGACTTTCATACTAATAAATTTTTTTATCTTTTTGTTTTTTACATATTTTTTTTTTCATAAACTTGTTTATTGCAAAAAAGAAAACCCCAAACAAACCAAACATTTATTACTGTTTGGAGGATTTTTGTAAAAAATGTCTTAAGTACGAAAATGCCTAAATCCAATAACGCTGTACATAGCTACGTCAATTGAGCGCTAAATACAATATAGGGTTGACAAACATGATTTACATTTCCAACGTTTTCTTTATTTCTTTTTAATTCGTCTACTCTGTAAGATTCTTACGATCCCTTTTTTCATGTAAATTAAACTGACCTTATCTTTTACTCGTGGTTTAGTCTTACGTAACCATTCTGCTAAATCTGTTTTTTTCCCACTTAGTCCTTTGAATGAGCTCACACTAAGATATGACCACTCAACGACAAAGTCTGATCGGATCCATGTTTTTTACGGGGCCCTTCAAAGGAAAATCACACTTACTTCACTATAGTTTTTGACATAAATTACCCTCCTGGAACCTCACATAAATAGGCACACCTTATATAAGTAAATTACCAGTTACGTGTCCAGCTTATGAGCTAGTCACTTGAAGTTACCACACCAATAAAGAAGTTCGTTAATTTACCAGGCAGTGTCCATTATACATAGGTTAACTGGTGAGCAATTCTTTTCCATTGTTATATTTAAATTTTTGTGTAGTTATTGAATATATTCATATTCATTTGTATGTATACATTACCCCTTTTATGCTTTTGATATTTTAAAGAATTTACTCTTTATTATCAACGATTTCGGTGTTAATACAGTATCACTTTTTCGTGCCAATTTGTTCATAGGAAACTAGAAAGGAGTTGCGTCCCTTTCTTAATTAACAACATCCGCTTTACAAATAAACAAGCACTATCGGGACATGTCTGTGTTATATTATGTAACGACCATCATAATATAGAAATGCATATTTGTCATATACTTGTAAATCGCTTGTTTTGCATGTGTGAGTATGCTGTGCATACATGTAGGCTATATCCCGTACCAATCCATATTTTCCCGGCACGCGCCATATCCACCCGTCACGCGCGCGCCATATCCACCCGGCACGCGCCATATGCTTTTAACTTTCGTTTCAACAATTTTCGACAAAAGTCATGCCTCAATCTTCGGGCAGCTTTTAAAGAAGTCGTAGTGTACCCCACGGACATTCATTTGTATTTGTTATGCTGTTCATTGTATTTTTTAATTATTTCCCTGTGTATTATATATGTTATTGCTGTATAATGTTGAGGCTAAAGAGTAGTATATGATAAGACGGTTATCATGTGACAATTTCCATATCCTGTCCCGTATCAGCCCTCGACCCGTCAGCCCTCGGGCTGATATGGGATTCTATGGTTGATACGGAGTAGGATATGGAAATGTGATAGCCTCTCATTACCCATTTCGCATTTAAGAGTATACATATCTTGTTGATTTATGCATATGTTTATTACACTTGTCACCTTAATATAGAGATAAACAGTTGTCATTAGCTGATCATGTAATATTTCACTTCCACGCTCAATCATTGTGAATAAAGTATTTCAATATTAGTACATGTATAAACAAATCTTAGATATGTGTGCTTTTATAAATGACTCGGGACTGTTACACCAGTAGAGAAACACATTAACTTACCAAACTGTCTTCATTAATTAAAAAACGACATGAAATAAGACCTTTATCATTCATATCAAATTCTCAAATATCTCAGACAAAGTTATAAATAAACATTTTAAATTATGCCTATCGGAACCAAAAGACAACATACTGCAAACGCTATACGAAGACAATTTTTAACGTAAGCAAGGCTGTTAGTTGCATTTGGAACTCAAAAATAAAAAGATAATGCAAAACAACCGAATAATAGTCTATTCCGTCTTTGCGTATTGCCGAGTTATCTTCTCTTAAGAACAGGTATTGATTGTTTCGTCATTGGTTTGTGAGAGTAACGTCATCAATTTTTGAGAAAATGACGTAATTTTCTCACACAAACCAATGACGTAACAATCAATACCTGTTCTCAAGAGAAGATAACTCTGCAATACGCAAAGACGGAATACCCTAGCCCTAGGCAAAATCCAGACAATGTGACGTCCTCAAAGCGGGGACCGGGGTAATGCTATCGAAACAACAAGACACAATTCGGATCATGACCAAAATCATTAATTTTCATATCACACAAGAAAATAAAAATAAATCTCAGTGAGGTCATCACGACGACCATAAAACTTACACATATATTGGTATATATCAACCTTCATCTCTCTCTTATAAAAAAACTTTTAAAACATTCCGCTACGCTGATTAACAGTTTGTGCGTTGCTGTTTTGTTTAAAACCCCTAAATTTATCATTTTTTTTTTTAAATATTGTGAATTCCAATAAGACGCCACCAATGAGTCCATTTTCAATGTTTCTATTATAACCTTCTTTCTCGTGTTGTTGCACAATGTATGTATTCAGTATAATATACTGCAATGTGTTGTTGTGTAATGTGCATATTCAGTACATATATATCAATGTAATTGTATGTAAAGTATATCGAGGCACTTATCACTGATGTACATCATAAACCATGTTTTACTTGTCCAGGTTAATGTCTCTGACTAGTTTCTATGGCGATAACATCCCTTCTTAGTTATTATCTTCACACAAATCCGTGTACTAAAAAGGATTGCTTGTGTACTAATCGGTCTACAAGTTTAAACGCTTCGCTGACGTTGATTCGTTTACGACTTTCACTTCCTGTTTGTTCTATATAAAGCTTCATTTTCTGCTCTTCAAACGATTCCTTAAGCTATAAATGGAGACAAACCAACTGTTTATTCTCCTGACTAAAAGCCTGGAATTTCTGTTGACACTAGCACCCGATAAAACGACAGCATTTCTAGGGATCTGCTTTAAATTTCGATGCAGCGTGGCTAAAGGCAGGACCTATAATTCTGAGGAAGGGAATTTTTTGATCCTTATGACAAATATAAATTCTTTTTAAAATAGTTAGATAAGACTAGCAAATAAGATTCATTTTCCCGATACGCCGGTTTGCATCTAATTGGATTGTACATTTTTAGATTCCTTTTCTGTCTTATACGAAATCTAGTATTCCCGTCTCCCTGCAAAGTCTAATTTCGTGTATTTTAATTTTACTGGACATACGCGTTCAAGCCTGGAGTGTTTAGGATAAACCAATTGATACAGGATATTCCGTCAGTGGGATAGGCGGACATGATGTCATTGCGAGGATTGATAACTATAATTTCAACTTTATAATATGATTTGAATAAATGAAATAGATTTCCAGCAATTTCCAATTCGTGGCTGTAATGTGATTTTCACACGAATTTGAACTTTTCTGTTTTTCATTTGTCCTCTGTTGATAGAAGTTTTTATTCTCATAATTTCTTTTGAAAATATAATTGTCCAAACTGTTCACGCATTTCAGTTTCCTCCCTTAAATCGAAGTAGTAGGACAATTGGTGCCAATCAGTTGGACATGCTATGTTGTCTTTGCGTTCGGCCCTGAATGATGAATAAGAAGTGACATCTCGGAATCACCAGTAATTCATCGAGATGACGGCAGAGCTAAGACTTGGCAACAAGAACGGGTTGTTTCTGTAACAAACTGCCTCGCTTGCTAGATTCATTTGTTCTTACGATATAGTTACTCAAACTTGGAGCTGTCTACACGTTTTTAGAACAACACGTTCACCCGATGGCGGTTAAAGGGGTGACTATCAAAGGCATCGTTTCCTTCCTAACAAAGGTTTTTAGAAATAATTTACTTTAGAACATGACTACTACTACTACTACTACTACTACTACTACTACTACATAATGATGAATGAACGTATCTGTCTTGTGTTATAATTTCACTTTGCCGTTGATGTGATTTAATGTCATTGCCGTTGATGTGATGTTGTATAGTTTGAAAACTGTTTTTGTTGTTGGATATTCCAGGTTAATTAACCTAACAGTCTTTTTGAATAATATTTTCAGCCAACCGTTTATTTATAATTTGTTTACAATTCATTTCGTTGTAGCACGGTGGGTCCTGGCGTCGCAGGAGTTTAATCGAAGATGCCAAGTTTGAGAGTGTAACAAACAAAGAATTTAACAAACGGGAGAAACACTTGAGTGTCAAAGAGAAATCCGTAAATACGACAGGATCGATCAGTGAGGAGGAAGAGGTTTTCGTTCAGAATGGGGATGGACCGTCCCCTGTGGAAACCGGAAATCTTGTGAATATTACGATCGTCATCACATTGAATGATGGGATAAGTTCTCTCGCCAAAATTCTCAGAGTATTTGAGGTAAGTTAGAAAAGTTTTCCGGCTCCACGCTATTTTTATTTTTTCTTTCTTTGATTTCTTTGTAGAGCACACATATGCAATATTTTTGTGTCCTACTTTATCATAAGGATTTTTTACAGAAGGAAAGCTTTTTATCTACAATGTGTGTTACGGGTTAAATACTATGAGTATAATTCCTTTATAAACAAGAAACGTATCTGTTGTATCGCTCTGCATTAGCTTAACTAGCGTGGAATACTTCAAATCGAGTGATGTTCGTTTGTACTCTATTTCACGAATATACCTGTAGGTTATTTTAGCGACTACTTGTACATGTATGAGCGATAAGGTGAATGTGATTCATTATTAATAGTAATTAGCAATGGTATTAATATTTGGGGAGACTAAACTTTGCGAACTAACATGTCAATTTATCTCTTGCATAGATAAAAAGTAGTTTACAACGTATTTTTTTTTTTTCCATTTTCTTACAAGAATAATAAAAGAAAAATATGTACATACATGTATTATACAGCAAGCTAAAAACGTGAATACAGCCGAGTTGAAATTTAATCTTGTCCTTTCTACAATAGCCAAGATCCATCATGGAAACAACAGCTGACTAGATAGTGTCAGTGATCTACACGTATCAGAATTAAATCCTGTTTTCGATAATAGGAAACAAGTCAGTATGGTTTTGTGAAAACCACTGTTATTCATTTTGTCAGAGCAAACGATTTCCAATTAGAATTGAGAGGATGAATTCAATCAGAGAAACACTTGTCGAACGTGTCAATCTGGTATTAGTGTAAAACTGTCTAGTCTTGTTGTTGCTGAAAATACGCAGATTAATGCATCATTGTCAATAAATTGTCGCTTATATATGTGCGTCAATATTGGGCCGCTTACACCGACAGGAATAAAGAATCGCCTCTATCAACGTTAATAATGGCTTGTTTGAATGAACCACTCTTACATTGATTAGTCTTGAGAAGGCGTCTTGTCAAATTCATGAATGGACATATGTTGACTCTAAAAATAGGAACATTACACATCCAGTGGACACAAGTATGTACGTAAGTCACTAATAGGACACTGTAAAGCACTTTTATTGAACTGTCTGAGCGTCCGTTGTTCACACCCGTGTGCATGACGTCACTCGCTTTGTACGACACTCACGGAGTATTTCATAAGGATTTCCAAATACAAATATAACATAGAAATAGTATTCATAATTCTATTAACGTGTAAAAGACGCAGTTAACGATTCCAGAAGGGATTCTTCCGTTAAAATATAATAATTCAAAATCAGTAATATGTTTTTTTATGCTTTCAACCTTTAATAGATAGGGCATACATGAACCTTGACTGTTTCTTCTGGTCATCAACAACTCCAGTTCAGTTTCTGTTTCGACTGAACATATTTTTTCGCAATTGTTGTCCAATAGTCGACATGAAACGATAATAAGTCGAGATCATATATTGTAGTACAGCAGTAAATATGTATTATATCTCCTTTATTTATTTTATGTAATACAGCAGCGAATATGTAATATTTCATTTATAATATCACAACAGTAAACATGTACTATATCTGTTTTGTTTGTTGTAATACAGCAGTTAATATGTAATATTTCATTTATTGTAATACAGCAGTTAGTATGTAATATTTCATTTATTGTAATACAGCAGTTAATCTGCATTATATACAATGTAGCTGTCATCTATTGTCATATGGGAGCAAATCTACATCACCTTCATCAATTGTGTAAAACGGTAAAAATATCTATATTCTGTCGATTTCATCTATTGTAATAAGGTACTTAATATGAAATACGGCAGTGTTTATTGTAATATGGTAGTAAATATAATATGATACAGTAAACCTATTGAAATACTGTAGAAAATATATATCGTAATCATTTAGTGAGATTGTGAGACTGCAATATACTGAGCTCATCAATAGTAGTGCGATATTGTTCCAAATGGAACATTCAATCTAGATATAAGGGTAAGTGTTATGGCGATACATGTCTATGGATGTCTACTGTTTACACAGCTCATTTCACATGACGTTACATAAACTCCATTGACGTCAGGATACCACCGATATATAGATCAATGCATTCATAAAAATAATCTCAAAGAAAACATCTATTTGACTTGAATCCAATATCGTTTTAAAAGATTAAGTTCGTGTATGAACTATTTATCATTCTCGAAAAACAAGAGGCGTAAACAGATTTCACTGAAATGAAAGTAAATCCCTTGAACTTTTCAGGATGACATACAGCATTTTGATACACGTCGGATGGATTTTTTTTAGAGCGAATCGGGGTTTCCTGTGATACGTTCTAACGCATTGTAGAATTTAACTTATTTAAACTGGACAAAAAGCATAAAAAAGCGATTGGTTTAATTGAAAAGTATTTTCCTGGTAGTTATATTCTTCGAAAGCATTTCCTTCTTTTATCAAAACAGTTCTATTGCATCGAATGTAGTGATTTCTTCTTCGTACTTTTAAATCCATGTAAAATGTTCCTCTCATGAGTTTAAATAAACTGAGTATTTATGAAAATATGAATTATTCTGTGAAGAAAACTGGCACGAGATTTGCAAGAGTTATATGTTTTGTTTTCACCATAAAAACTTGGTTATTACTTGAGAAACAAGTAGGTTTTAGTTTCAAAATAAAGTTGAACTATTTCTACTGTGAGAATTAAGGCTTTTGTAATTTTTAAGTATTAACCAGAAAGCAGTTTTTAGTGAAAAAAATATGTCAAGATGGTGACATAACACTGCAACATCCATTGTCTCAACATTATTTTGCGAGAATACTTTACTATTTATTCACGGAAACCCATCTTTGATAAAGAAAAACTATAAAACAAAAAAACCGTTTTATCCCACTCGTGAAATAATGATTTTTTCTCATCAGGAAATTTATAATATCCTCTATAAATTGCAACAGTTCAAAAGAGAGAAAAAACTCAAGATTTGCGCCCTTTCATTGTTCTTAAGTCATGTTCGATTTAACCAGTTAACAAAGCGAAGTTTTAGAACTGATACAACCAATAACCGTTATTCGAACTGGAAATTCATGAAATAGGGGCAAAAATGAAACAAATAAATGATATTTTTCTACAAGATTGAAAACGAACTCAGTACGTATACGGTGTGGACACGTCATCGACGGGCGAGTAAATATCGCGACCGGTCAGAAACGGGGAAAACGCAAGACAAATTGGATACTGTAAGCAAACATCCTCCTCTGCTTTACCTGTTATTCCGCCGATCGTTTTGTAGATAGTTCTCAGCTCGGTGTATTGGCATCCTTGACGTTGTTAATGTTATAAATACCTACAATAAATATACTGTTGGTATTTTCCGCATCTTTAGATGTTGAAACAGGACTGGCGTAATTATTTTATATACTGCAGCGTCGTTCTGTAAAGATTTTCTCATTAACTGGCCATGTCATCTGTACTCTACCGATGATACATGTTAACAGTTTTTATTTAATTATTGATGTACATACTGAGTGCGTTAAGAGTCCGTCGCGGTTCATGAACTAATTGTTTTACACGAATTAACCCTGTCTGCATGGCTTCTGAATTGATAGTGGATTTTTTTCTGACGTCAAGCAAATTAATTGTACAAACAAAAAAAAATCGTTTTATTTGCCTGACCAGGCATTGTTCTTTTAGGCTTGCATGTCTAAATATGTTAGTAAGTTGTCTCTTAATCCATACAATAAACCTTACCTTAGCGACAAGCAAAGCAGCATCTGTTTTAGTAAAACATTATTTTTAATATACTAAACGTATGATCAATCTCGTATGCAAGACAAAACCTGCGCTAGAACCAGTATTAATAAAGTCAATATATGACTCGATTTTGTTTTTTTTTGAATTTCAGTCTGGACCGATATGATGTTGATTTGAAGTAATTTTTTAGGACAGGTTTTTCAATGGTCTCACCCTCACTCGTAAATAATAAAGATGTACTAATAAAAATGCGTTTCATTTTTTTTCTTATTAAATAAGTTGCTGATAAACACGAGGAATTATTAAAATTAGTTTGATATTACCTACTGTATATGTATAATGTTACATTGAATACATTAAAAGTTACAAGCGGGAAGTCTGTTTGTGGTAATATACAAGACGATAACACTTCTTTAAATATTGAAAACATCAATCTTTTATTGTACCTCATAACGTTTTGCATACATTTGAAGCAACCTGATTTGTGTCTTCGATACACAATTGATCTGCAAAGAGGAAAATGTTTTATCACCTAGATAAAAGTGTTATATACTCGATAAATTATATCCAAATAAGCATACTTATGAATAATATAATTCATAAATACTATCAAACACGAGTCTTTGTCTTTGTTAAAAACCTTTTAAGGCTAGCCTTTAAGGTGCAGATTGTGTAAGCTGAAGATTTTATATGTATTTTGTCTTAGGCTACGTTTTTGTGTGTTCTTTGCCTGAGATTTGGCTAATACATTTGCTTTGCCTACGGTATGGCTTTCAGGCTTTCCTAGCCCTAAACAATAGGGGGTTAATAACGTCGGAAAGATGGTAACAGGGATTTCAGATCCGGAACCTGCTGTCTATCTTTCTTTAGGAATAAGAATACTAAACTGAAAACATATTTCTACACGACTCGTTTTCTTTGCAGAACACCAAAGTAACCATCGACCATATCGAATCAAGGAAATCCAAGAAACCTGACTGTCAGTACGAGATTCTCTTGCAAGCGGTTAGCACGTGTGAGCGGTGGACGCCAGTGACAAATTTATTACGTCAGAGCCCACAAGTTAATGACATCTTGATACTAAATGAGCAACCCCGACCAGCAGAGAAAGGTAAAGAAGACTATTAATTTGGTTCTGTCTTTTATCCATTCTCCAAGTGTAACACCTTTTTGACAGCTGTTGTACATATGTTTCACATCTATTTAATAAACTGCACATAAACTGTAAATGTTTTTCATAGTAATGTTTCATTATTGATTTTTACATCTTCACACTTTTTTATGTTAATTCATAACTAATACTTTAAAGCTATAAAACATCTTGGAAGATCCTGACCACCCGCACGTCTAGCATGTCAAATGAAACATGTGAAATGATAGTTTGGTTTGGTTTGTTTGTGTTTTAAGTCCTATTAACAGATATGGTCATTTAAGGATGTGCCAGGTTTTGGTGGTGAAGGAAAGCTGGAGCTCCCGGAGAAGAACCCACCGACCTAGGCCAGTACCTGAAATGATAGTCAAAAGCAATTTTATACTTTATGATTTCTTGATTTGATTTCAAAATGTTCTACCTTTCAAAAAATTCGTTAATATAGTTTCCACATAGTTTGTGCGCGGTTAAGGTATTGTTTCAGATTTATACTCCATGTTTGTTTGATAGTGTTAAATTATATTAAAACATGTTCCAGACATCTGGCGATTTGATCTCACCGAAACCTTGTTAAACGACTGGAATATCGTTTGATCTAGTAGATTAATTCTGACGTACCACGTACACTGTCTGTCACTGAATCATGAAGATCGTACACCAACCCTGTCGCCGTTGAAGAACAGCTAGGGAATGCTGCTGTTAATGTTATTTCTCCTTAACCCTAATACATGTCGGCCCTGTTGCCAATGATTTAGCTCGTTACTTCTGCATCTAAACCTGCATTATCCTTGACGTTGACCCAGCTTATTTTGTCTCAATTTGTAGGGAACTGCACAGAAATTTTTAGATGTTTCTATCAGTCCTTTGGGATTTCCTTAAACATGATATTTTATCAGAAAATGTTGTGGTATTGTTTTTAATATGTTAGAAAGCTCTGAAATCTATTTGATGTTAGGAAGGACTGCACATCTAGTGTTCCTCTCAGTACCTGTGGCAGCATTGGTTTGATGTGTGTGTGTTCTCAGTAACCTGTTCACGAGACCGATAGTTCTCTTGCGCGATGTTCCTATTTGATAGGCCGAATGTGGATAACTGAGGGTTTGATATCACGTTCTTTGATAGATGGAATTGTTTTTCACATCCATGTTGTAGTTGCTTGTAAAGTTAATATATCGGTCCTTTTGAAAGGAAAACAAACAAAACTCTGTAGTTTTGATGGCGTCATCTTCTAATGTGCTCGTATTGGTGTCGACGAGGACTACTTACGACTCATCAAACTCATTCTAAATGGTAAACGTCACGCTGTCAGCCGAGTTCAAATTGTCAATGAGTGTAATGCCTTTCAGCTTAGATCGTGCATCAAACCCTTCGGGACTAACAAAGGAGTGGGTGTACCGTTATGCTTTTGATTTCTTCACAATCCTCTTTATACAAACGCATTTAACAGGGACACTGATGAACTAATTTCATCAGATTCTCATGCTTCTAGCATAATGCTGGCTAGTAGTCACATTGCTGAACAATAGGAGACACGGTAGTCTAGTGGTAGGACGCCGGGCTCGTGACCGAAGGGTTGCGGGTTAGAGTCACGGCACGGCACTGTGTTGTATCCTTGATCAAGATACTTTACTCCGCTTGTTTCAGTCTACTCAGCTGCTCATGAGTACGTGGTTGGGCAATGCTAAAATTGTAAAATGCCAGCTGTAAGCGCCGAGATGGCAGCACTGTATGCTCCTCAGGGAGTTGAGAGAGATACTAGCTGGTTGCAAAAGCCCTATAACCACGGATAATAATTTGTGAACCGCTTTGAGACGACCTACGAACTAGGTTGTGATAAAGCGGTATATCAGAACCTCGAATTATTATTAATATTATTATTGTTATTGATATGTGTACATCAGAAGACTGGAGCAGGTTCACCTTTGTTACAAAGTTGTACAGCAAAATATTTCAGCAACACTATGTTGTTTGAGTTCCTACTTATCAAAGGTCAACCTTGTAACTTACCGAAGCTCGTGCATTTTGAAATACATGTACAAGTTTTAACAGGCTCTTAGGAGGTAGAATAAATACCGGAGCTATTGCTTTGACATAATGTAGGTTGAATTTCATTATTTTAAAGCCTCGCTTTTCTGTCTTATCTATGGCAAACTGAAAAAGCTCCACGATGTCTCAGTGTATGATACCGGATATTGCATTATAACGTATGCAGCGCATGGTTACATAACTCTTACCCACCTGTACACTTGTTATTAAAATAATTTTGGGTTAGTTTCTATTTGTGAAATTTAATCAAATAATGTTAAAAACTGGCAACACCTAGCTAGATCTCTACATTTTGATCATATTGAGCTGGGCAACGACATTTTGTTAAGAAATAATTTCCATGGGACTCAAAATTGGAAGTCTATAAATGAAGTCTCTGTTTATTTAGTATGTCATTTTTGACGTAGTCTTCGAAAGTTAACACAAATACCTATATCATTTGAAGTAATTAAGGTTTTCTCCGGGTCATTTATGTTTGACAGGCATGCCCCTTTGATCGGTGATTAAGCTTTGTTCACCAAAGTTCACGTGATGACGGGGTTGGCTTTGTTCTGGTTATCACGTGATTATGTGTTATCCTTACAGTAACGTCCCCAGAGATTTATGAAGTTCTGATAGAGTAGTTCGGTTTTAATGGTATGACGTCTTGTACTACATTTATACTGCCTACAGAGCTGAAACATTTCTTTTTTCATAGACGTTGTTGTTATATTTAACTCCAAACATTACACTCGAACAAATCCCGAATAGATTTTGGATCAAACTAGCTGAATAATTGACCATTTATCGAATTCCCGCGACATGGCTTTTATACAGCTAAAGGGTGTCCAAATACTCACCAACTATAGCTTTTTAACATCATTATCAAAATTAACCATCAAAACATCAGATATGTGTACGTTATCTTTTTCGCGGAATGTTTGATAACTCTTTATAAGATGAAAATGTAGAATCAGGAGCTGTTACACATTTATCGTCCACTTATTTCAGTGGCAACACCTGAGCCCATCCCTCATTCCTGCTTTGGTTCTCAATGGACAAGATTATCTTTAGTACTCGCAGCATCCGCAAGTTTTGTTTTCCCAGCTTTAGGCAAAGCAAGAAAATTAGTCTCGAAAAAGCTTCGTGGCACTTCCCGAAAACTAAACGGAACTTCTCAGTTGGAGATTGACCCATTAGGCGAGCACACTTCTATAGAACGAGGTATATTCAGATTTAGAACTGTTTTGTAGCATGCCAGACATTATAGCATCTAAAATGCCTTTTCTGTTTTTGTAATATATAAAAAAAGGCTTGCAGTTTCCTTCTTTTGACGTCCTGCATAAATATTAATAACGATTTTAATATTTTACTATCACTTGCCTTCATTGTCGTAACAAATGTCTTAAATGTATCTATTATTTAAGCAATACATTGCGTCATGTATGTTTTAATTTAAGAAAAAAGGTAATAGCCAATATTTTGATATGTTGCCATCTTTCCCTGCTGCACTCGTTCCTATTTGGAACTATCTCTCTCCTGTGTCAAAGAACAAAAGATGTAGTTTGTTTGGTTGGGGTTTACTCTGTCCTCACAACAACCTAAGGCATATGTTAACATGTGCTTACGTAGGCAAAGCCGAAAAGAAAGTGTAGAAAAATATTTTATATTGATTATAAACAATACACTGGCTACAAAGGTGATTACGACCTAACGTTACCTGTTATTTTTAACTGGTATGGCTAATTACGCCAATTCCTGAAGTATCTGAATATAGGTATAAACTCAGGTAACTGCACCTTTTAAATAAATAAACCTTAAAAATGGGGGTGTGAAAAAAGTGCTTTAATTTTTTGACTATTATCACTAGCTACTCTATCATGCATTTTTGCAGAGCAAACCATTCTTTTAACAACTGTGCCAAAACAAAAAAATACGAGAGACTGTGACCTTGCTCTGTAGACTTTGTCATACTTTATCATGTGACAACAGATTATATGAGACTGTGGCCTTGCTCTGTAGACCTTGTGATACTATATAAATACCCCGTTGATGTGACAACAGATTACGAGAGACTGTGTCCTTGCTCATTAGACCTTGTGATACTATATAAATACACTGTTGATGTGACAACAGATTACGAGAGACTGTGTCCTTGCTCTGTATATTTTGTGATACTATATAAATCCCCCGTTGATGTGACAACAGATTACGAGAGACTGTGTCCTTGCTCTGTAGACCTTGTGATACTATATCAATATCCTGATGTCGTGACAACAGATTACGAGAGACTGTGCACTTGCTCTGTAGACTTTGTGATACTATTTCAATGTCCCTGTTGATGTCATAGCATATATTATGTGAAAGTGTATCGTGTGCCGTTGCCATGACGACATATCTAGTGAAAATATACCCCTGTTATGAGGACGTTGTGACATCTATTGTGATACTGCAGACATGCCCTGAGCATATGACCACATAGCGTTGTGTGAATCTGTCCTAATAATCTGTTGCTATGACGACACATAATACACTTGACTTACTCCATGTCATATACTTTAACGCACTGTGACGACATAGATTTAAGTACATTGTGACATTTTGTATTAATGAATTTTTACATTTTGCAAAAAATCACAGACAACATACCCTGTGTAACTTTAATTATAGCTAAAAATGTATGTTCTTGAACATGTGTTTTAGAAGTCTTATTACCCTTTTCAGATGATTGGTATCCTCACCATATTTCGGATTTAGACAATTGTACCCACCTTGTTACTAAGTTCGAACCCGATCTGGATCATGATCACCCGGTAAGTGACGAATGATTTATTTTCTCGGACACTTACAATCAGTTGTCGAATTATCCCGCATCTCATTGGCTTTCAGACCTTATCGATTGGGAGTCTCATCGTTAACGCTAGAGAAACGACCCTTATACTACCCTATACATCATTGATAACTCCTAGCGCTAGTGTAAAGGGCCATTTTCCTTGTCGGGGAGGGTCATAAAGACTCCTATATTATTTGTATATATGTAGATAATTGTCCTGAAATGTTTTAAGATTCGAAAATAAATCTTGGCTCTATCAAGCGCCGGAAGTAGTTTATAGTTTAATTAATGCTGCTGTAGTTAGCTAATGGTAGTAGAGTTATCGCAACTTCCGACTCTGGTCTTTTGCAGGGATTTACGGACATGAAGTACCGTGAAAGGAGGAAGGAGATCGCCGACATTGCATTTGAATACAGAAAGTATGTAAACTTAAAAGCACTATGAATAAATCTATCAGACAATAGAGCACGCGCTCAGTAAATGGCTGGTAGTTTTTATTTACGCTCTTTAGTTGTCATTCGTTAAAGCATCGGTATAAAAAATATCACTTTGAAGTTATTGTTAGAAAATAGATAAAACGTATGACTAGGTTTGATGTTGTTACCTGAAGGTTACAGGGCAAAGGTCAACAAACTATAGTCCACTACTAGTGTTGTAAGAATGCATTAATGGAAATCAATGCATCATTCGTTTGAGCGAGCTCTTTGAAACAAATTTACGAACATTGCTCCACGACTGTCTGTATCGTCGTATTTCCGCTTTGTTTCTGTCTACTTTTCTTCAGTTTGAAGGGAACTTCATCTTGATTGTATTGGATATCCTCGATATCCAGAAATGACGCTCACTTTCGCTCTCTGCACCCCTGGAAAATGTCATAGCAAAATTGAAGGCACGCGACTAGCAATTTGATTGGTGTCATGTAAAAAAGCCTGACCAATCACTAGGCTGATACTTGTCCTTTGACGATTACAGAGGAGCGATGTCCAAGTTCAAAGCCAAAAAGTTTTATCGTCACGTGACCGCGATATCCTGTTGATGCACATCAAAGGCACAAGGTGGTGCACACCGAGCCTTCGATTTTGCTATGACATATCCAGGGGTGTAGAGAGTAAAAGTGAGCGTAACTCCTGGATATCGAGGATGGTATTGGTAGGCTTAATAAAAAGTTTAACATTTTCTTCCCTTTTTTTCTTATGGTTTCAATATTTTTAAACTGAATTATTCTCATGCATTCCTTATGCTATGTTTTGATAACATTAACATGTACGAGGCCAATATTTCAAATGCGAAAAAGATCTGTTGTATTTGTATGACATGTGAATTTGTCTAAATCTGTTTTTAATCTATAAAGTTATGTACAGGAATCTGATATGTGTGCCAGTTTACGAATGTAGGGTAGGATGCATGTCTTTTGATAGATTTATACTGAATACCAGAAGACTGATTTGTAGCGTAAGTAGGGATTTATAACAAAAGGATCAAAGTTGGTTATTTTTTCTACTCTTGTTGCAATTCAATGTTGTTATTTTCATGTTTTATACAATGTAAATACTTACATGTGAAAACACAGTAATACAATGTATAGTACCTCTTGTTGCAACACAATGTTGTCATTTTCATGTTTTATACAATGTTGATACTCTCATCTGAAACAATAAATTTGTAATTCAATGTATTGTATCCCTTTTGTTATACGATGTTGTAATTTCATGTCCTCTGCAGTCCTGTAATGTAATGCCAGCCAATGATGTTTTATGAAATAACTTAAGATGGAAATAAATGAGATGAAATTTAATGTAAGTAACAGGTAGTCTGACTAAGCATTTGAGACAGTGATATCTTAATGAATGTTTATATATGCAAATTGGACATATTTCTTCAGACTTGATGTAGGAAAGAGACAACCGAGTTCTTCAGGGGTTGTTTACTCCATGTTCTTTACTTAACAGACATGATAATTCATATAACAAATAATATACATTTGAGCCTTGTTGACGTATATGTCACTTACTGTTTATCTCACTTAAAGTCAATGTTTTAAGGAAAAGAATTGCCGTTTGAAATACAAAACAAAACTGTCTTAATAATTTAGACTTAGTTGGTAAAGAGTAGCGGTAGATGAGAAAGACATAAAATATGTGTTCTTGGTGTTTCAGTGGACAACCTATCCCGCGAGTAGAGTACAACGAAGAGGAAACACGAACATGGTATGGTGTTATCAAATTCATTCTTGATAAGTAGAAAAATCTAAGTTATGGAAAATCATGTCGCGACATCTTGTATGCTTCATACTAGTAATTTAGCATGCCGTCGTATCATAATCAAGATCTTAAATAATGTATAACCTGTTTTCCTTCCCTTTTAGTTGTACATGTTCTCTCCTTCCGTGATGTTATCTTATTGTACTTTTCTAATGTGTAATGACGCAACGTCATTGTTTAGGCCATTATGACGCATACCTGTACGTGGCTATATCCCCTAGGTGTTTTTTCAGTTGCAACGGGATACACACTTATGAAGAATGGGATATTTTTGTTTCCTTTGGAAACAAACGGTGTACATGGCCATCTTTTATTTGACCTTTATATGATTTCTATGCTATTGCTAGAATTTTACCTTTCAAACACAAATCTCAAGGGCATTGCTTGTTTTGTAGACAACGCATCAGTAGTTTTGACAACCTTAAAAGGTCGTTTAGAATGAAAATATCAATACCTTTATATAATTAACTTAGCATGTGGTTGAATCTGATTTTTGTTAAAATCCCGTCCATAGAACTTCAATTGTGAATCGTTTTAAAAAAAATTATAACATCAATTATTCTACATCGCCACTGTTCTTCCTCTGTGCCATGTAAAAAGTCGTACACATGGTCCCGAAAATGCATCTCTAGGATCAGCCCTTTCATTATCTGATGGTTTTGTTGTTAGGAACTTTTATCAACCGTCCATGCGCAAGTCATAAATGGCCTTGTATTGTCTGAATCGTACACTAATGATAATTAAAAAGTTGAAAAATTTGATACTGCAATTTCAGGAAATGTTTTAACTGTCAACATTGACAGCAGCTACGTCGAAAGATGAGACTGAAAAGTAAATATTTGTTTTTGATACCCTTGAAATGAAAATAAAACCCGATCTATGAATATTTTCGCTAATATTTTTCAAATCAATTTTAACAACAAATCAGAAATTCGAGTACTAGGATATAAATACATAGTACACAATTATATGAGCGACAATAAGCTCAATTACTAGAAATATTGGTGTAATGTTTCGATAATTGTTAAATGATTTAAAGGCAGTATTGACTTTGGCATTGTCCGGTTGATACAAAGTTATTTCCAATCACTAGACCATGTGTTCAAACATGTTGTCATTGATACCATAATAGCCCAACTAAAACACTCTAAAATTGCAATTTTACGATCACCCCAAATAAATAATCTAATTGTTCCACCTGTCTAAACGATACGTCTACCCACCCACAACTACAATGTCCTACTCGGGTATTTAAACATCTGGAATAATATGTTCAGTGTTAGTAAAATGGCTATTGTTAAACTGATGTTGGTACAGCAAATAGACCGAGATAAAATAAATACTCAGATCGATAGACAAATATGTGGTGCTTGGGGAGGCTCATGCAACGTGTGTGTCAACCAGTGTCGTCTGAACTCGGTTAAACAACATACAATATCTGTTGAATTATTAATTTCTATCAGTTACAAAATTAAATCCCCTCTAGATGAAAGTATAAATCATTAAAGTGTCACTTGTCTGATTTCACTATTGACACAACATTAACTAAAACGTCCATTTATTTTCGCGCCATTCATTGAGAGCAGACGATAGCGCTCAATGTCTGTATTGCAGGGGTTGGATCGAATCTATCAGTCTGCATTGCTGTAATCTCGCCCATCAAATTGTCCTATTCCGATCGTTACATGATTGTTAGCCCAAATCACTTCACATCTATCCGGGGATGTCGCGGAGGTGATGTTGAGCACTTGTAATATTTGACAATAAAGACAGCTTGATAAATGTCGTCTGCAACTTTCATGAAAGGATGCATGTATCTTTTTTGATAAAACCATATATTGCCTTGTGCCAACATACAATCTATCTGTTTTTTTCCATTTTAATGTGGGCTAATGATGAAAGAACTCGGCTCAATTAAAAGTGACAGTTGTATTGTCCCTTACCCAGACTGGTAGTGGATTTCTTCCTCTCAGTTTGTGTCCTGCCTGACCAATGTTACATAGGGTACAGTCGCGAAAAGGAGAATCTGTCTAGCACAGTGTAATCGGCTGGTACGCTATTTACATAGGCACTTGTCAATATCTTAAACACTTTTCCATACAACGATACCATTGTTCGGTGTTTATCAGAACCATGCCTGCAGACTTTATATACACACATAGATTCAGAAGAATACCTTGAAATTTCGTTCTCGTCAGACAGCGAAAGCTCAGGGATTTTTGTTGTTGTTGTTGTGAATGCCGCTTTTTTTTTTTTATTGCAGCCTCCCTATTTCGCTCCAATTAAGGAGGAAGAACACAAACACCTTTGTTTCATTTTTTGTTATCATACCTATGAAGTCTAAAACTTGGCATCAGACGGTTATAAAACGTAACAGTTTTACAGTTTTTCATTGTTAAGAAAATCGATCGATATTTTTCTGATGGATGTTATCATTTTATTCAAGGAACCATGTTTACAGCCGTCTTCAGGATTTTTTCCCGACACATGCGTGTAGGGAACACCGGGAAAACTTTGAACGTCTGGAGAAGGAATGTGGATATTGTCCTACCAGTATCCCACAGCTAGAAGACGTCTCCAATTATTTGAAAAGTGAGATGATGCTTACGTAATGTAAAATATTCTTTTAAATTGAGCTTTTATTTCTTGTTCCAAGTCTAGACTCTTCAATACACATGGAGTAAATAGATTAAGTGCCCATTGCTTTGCTTCAGTTTTGACAGTATTCTCAGTATACATATCTATATTTTTCAGTTATTTGCATTAAAACCGATTCTATTCTATCGATTTTAAGTAACATTTCGTTTTTGTTATTTCACTTCTTTTCCATTTTGCTTGAAACCCGCCATTTTGTTTATCACGAAAATTCTATCAAACGTTTAGAGAGACAAACTAATATGTGTGATTTGAGCCTTTACTTAGAGGTCACCTGATTTCATCAGAACGCCCCATATCTGTATAAAAAAATCTTGGATACGAATTATGTAAGTAATATACATGAAAATCAGAAACACTGTCTTAATTTGTCAAAACGTTAAAACTTCCGTTCAGTTGTTCATACTTTCAATTTTTCTATCGGTAAAAATAATTGTTTGCATTGCTCCCCAACAAAAGGTTATAAATAACAGTGATTGACATTCATCTTATACTATGGTCACTTAGGAAGAACCGGATTCCAACTCCGACCAGTTTCTGGACTTCTGTCAGCACGGGATTTCTTGGCCAGCCTTGCTTTCAGAGTATTTCAATGTACTCAATATGTCCGTCACGGGTCAAAGCCCGACCACTCTCCAGAACCGTAAGTCATAAATGTGTATCTACCTAAACAACCACAATTTTATTGGTAGTGTATCTTCTTTTTGTACTCTGAGAATTAAACTGCCCTATCTGTCCTATAGGGATGTAGAAAATAGGATATAGTTAGCCTAATCACGATATATGGGGAACTACTTCCGCACAGAAATGTAGTTCGTTCATTAATTCTGATTTTTCTGATACGTGAATGGATATCAAAGGTAATTTATATTGATATTTATCGGTAATGTAAGTCTACAATGGAATCGGGTACCAGCACTCTGATAAAATATAAATAACGTACGAATCTATAAACAGCAATGTCATGTGTCAAGCATTGCTACTCAACCTTGAATAAACGTATATTCACCCCCTAATGTCAATGTTCTAGATGTCGGATAAAAATGTGAAGCCTTTAAATGATTTTGTTTACAGAATAAGCATTTTTCAAGTTCAATCAAAAACAATGCACGGTGTTCAGGTTCGGTCAAAATAGTGTGCATGATTCAAGTTAAATCAGCCCAACACATGACATTGTTCAAGTTCAACGAAAGCAGTATACAAGTTTAATTCCAGCAATTAAAATTGTTCCAGTTCAATAAGAACAGTATAAATGTACATCAAAATCAAAATAATTGGCATTGTATAAGTTCAGCTAGAATATAAAGATGATAGTCTGAAATAGGCCAAATGAGCATGCGCAACACGTGTTCTTTTCATGAAACACAATTTTAGCAAAATAAATTCGGACTTAGTTTGAATTAACTATCAGAACGAATATTTTACTTTATCGATATTGCTCCATTCAGAGACTGCATCCATGAAATTCTAGGCCATGTGCCAATGTTAGCCGACCCAAAGTTTGCACAGTTTTCCCAGGAAATTGGTCTCGCCACACTTGGAGCTTCTGATGCCGACATTGAGAAATTCGCAACGGTAAGGTCGAGAATAAAATAAAAAATAAGTCATTTTTTTATCCCTTTGTACGTAAGTTATTGGCTCACGAAAATAAGTACAACACAAAAGGAATCGGGTAAATCGGGTTTATTTTGACTTGAAATGTCCTAGTGTTAGATTCGTTTCACAAGGTGAGACAGGTACACAGACGTGGAAATATTTGGAGAGTTATGGATAGCTTTAGATATAACACACGTTTAAGGTACACGATGGCTATTGTATTGTCTAGATACGTATTGATCTAGATTAGGTTCCTTTTGATCTTCCGTACATCAAGGTGGATGGCTTGCGTAGAAGAGATACCATACTCGAGGACTTAGATCAAACGTTGGCGCTTGAAGACTTTAAAATCTCTTGAGTTCTTTGTTCTTGAGTATCATACTGCAGTGACGTTCTTTACTCAGCAAATCAAAAATACAGACAGTGATTTTGTTAAGGATTTGTTCCAACAAACGAACTCTTCAGTTATAAATATCTTAGCAAAGCACGAAATTAAGTCTTTTAATCGAAAAAGTTATTATATATATTTTTTTGAAATAAGATAGGAAGCTTTTAAACTAATTTCATACATGTCACATAATATGATTGAAATAGGCTACTTTAAACAAGTGGTTTTATTATTGATATAGACTATAGAACGGGCCATAGATGCCCGAGGGCACCTTTATCCCAGTACTGTATTCGATATATCCGCATGACACTTTGAAGTTCAATTTTACTCTTAACCCGGTATGTAAATTTCTAAATTATTTTTAAAAAGGACTGAGGTTCAACCACTACCTTATTTTTTTCTGTTACTCTATGAATGCCCGAATATTGAAGATTCAAGTCGCTCTGAAGATATTTTATTGATCAAAATATCAATGTCTGGCGCACGTTTTGTTCTTGCGCTCACTGGCATAACCTCAAGATAAAAGCGTTATTGGTTAAAGTAATGTCCCTAAAACCATTGATGGTCGAATTGATGCTCAATAATATTTATGGTCGAGTTAATACCTCTTAATATTGTTGCTTGAGGTAATACCTCTAGACATTAATGGTCGAGTTAATGCCTCTTAACTATGTAACAATAATGGTTGCGAGCCTCTTAACATTAATGTTCGAGTATATGCCTCTTCGCATTAATGATCCAGTTAATGTCCGATAACATTAATGGTCGAGTTAATGCCTTTTAACAGCAATGGTCGATTTGATGCCTCTTAACTATGTAACAATAATGGTTGCGAGCCTCTTAACATTAATGTTCGAGTATATGCCCCTTAGCATTAATGATCCAGTTAATGTCCCATAACATTAATGGTCGAGTTAATGCCTTTTAACAGTAATGGTCGGGTTAATGTCCCTAAACATTAATGGTCTTGTTAATGTCCTTAAACATTGATGGTCCAGTTAATGTCTCTTTACATAAATAGTCGAGTTAATGCCTCTTAACACTAATGGTCGAGTAAATACCTTTTAGCACTAATGGTTTAGTAGATACCTATTAACATTAACGGTCGAGTTAATGCTTCTCAACATTAATGGTTGAGTTCATGCTTCTTAACATTAATACAATTGTAGTTAAGGCAATGTCCCTCCAAAGAATGCTTGAATATGAAACTGTAAGCATCTCAGACAAATCCAAAGTGAAGTATAGGACAGGGAACAGATCTGTTTATATTCTTTAATTCATTGTTTACAGATGTACTGGTTTACGGTAGAGTTTGGCCTGTGTAAGGAGGACGGCGAACTGCGGGCGTACGGAGCAGGAACACTTTCGTCGTACGGCGAGCTTCAACACGCGCTGTCGGACGCACCTGAAAAGCGTCCGTTCGAGCCTGCCAAGACGTCCGTCCAGGAATACACAGACGACGACCTCCAGCCGATATACTACTACGTGGAATCTTTTGACGACATGATGCAAAAAATGAGGTAAATTATATTTCCTTTAAACTTAGACAAGGAGAAAAGTGTTAGCTTTCCTAACGGATCCCACATGCTTATAATTGATTTTTTGAGTACAATAAAATTTCATCAGCGTAAAAAAATAAGACAAGAAAATGCAGCAAAGCTGCTGGACACCAAATCTTGTGACATGAAAATAACTTACTGATAGTCCAACAACCATGAGGGAACGGATCCTTAATAATTTAATTTATTCTTCGAATAGTTTAATATACTAACGGCATTAGTTTTGTCGGACAGAATATTCCATTCACGCTCAATATCCTTACATGTTGCGATATTGTCACTCTATACATTTTCCAAAGCACGCAAATGTATATTTTCAACTTCACGTTTTAATGTCAACGATTTGGTAACAACGTCACTTCTGAGAGAGAGAAGAAACAGTACATGATTTACATAAAAATATCATGTATATCTTCCGCGAATTTTACAAATATTTCTTTTCGCAATGTACCTTTGAATAAAATATCAACCGTCTTTTGGATTAAAGCGTCAATCAAATCACCACTTTGAATAATGTTCAAAATGTAAATATTTGGTTGAGGATAATTGTTAAAGAAGTTTTTACGTTCGAGTCTGCTACGAAGACACATTTTGCCACAACGCCGCTTTTTGGGTTCCTTATATATCCGTATTCAACGGGAAAACCACAAAAGTTTCTATTTATTACCCTTTTTGCGTCATGCGACACAAATATTGCTACATCTGTGTATATATGTAGCGTAAATTTTGACGCCAGGTTCTAAAGACGTCACGCATGACAACAATACAGAGCGTCATTTTGAATGGGTTTCTCAATGCAATCCGTTCGTTTGCTACTATCATCTGGTTAGATTTACAAACAAAAATGTTACAAGTTGTGTAGTTATATAAATACCATTATGTATGTTGCAAAGGTGGGACCGCACAAACACTTATTCTACCGTCGCTTCATCTAAACTTGAAACTGAAAATCCACGCAGTGAACAGAATGTACCATTCTAATTGGACAATACTAAAACTATAATTTGTATGCATCCATTGCATTGAAGATATGTTTTAATCAAATAGAGAATTCATGATATTTCACAAGAAAAATGTGACAAATACGGATATAATAATTTGATATTATTTTTTTGTAATAAATATGCGGCCTCCATTTCCCAGAAGGCTTTCACGCATGGGGAAGCACCGGAAGCGGACAAAGTGCTTACAGAGCAAACCCCGGCGGCGCTCTGCGCCGCTTGGGGATTTATAAAAAAAAATAAAAAAATAATAATATAAAACCTTTTCTTTCGGTTGTAGCTTCAAATTAAAACAAAAACTGTAACAGAGAACACTAAATTCGTGAAAAAAAGTATAATAATAATAAAAAGGTAGTACACGTATAGATCTTTTTAAAAAAGATTTTTTCACGGTTTTGTACATGTTAAAGTTTTATGTTAGAATGAAAAACACAGTTTCTAATGGTAAACTGGTAATATTGGTTGCAGCATGGAAGCCGGCTAGCGTAATTCATAATTACAAGGCTCGCTTTTCAAAGTACCCTTTATAATCTGTTTCAGGTTTTGTGTCGTTCCAATGACACAATAGTGAATATTTCACGAAATCTAGGATTGATTGTTTCAGTTTGAGGGCATTTATAACACATGTGAACGGTTATTGCAAAGCGCCATTACGTATTTATATCACAATTTTGAATGTGAACAATGATAATAAAATTTGTTTTAATATTTACACTCGACAGGGATTCTTCCGTACTAAATCGGATACTTGTCTGTGTGATTACTACCGAGGTCAACATACAGTGCTGTAGTATTATGTTGATAAATCATTGTCTCCAACAGAAAATAATTATAAAGCCTGACACATACCGCAATGCATATTTTATTTATCAGGTTGGTGGACAACCGGGAAATATATTTTTACACCTCTGGGCTAAAAGAAATATTTACCTCCGTTATACATAATATTGAAGCAGCTATTTAAAGTGACTGTTCATGTAATTTCCATTTAATCCAATATATTTACGGAGTGTTCCTATAGTTACTATGGAAGTTGATATATTGTTGGACTTTTACTACAGTTATCATTGAAGATGATATATTGTTGGACTGTAACTATAGTTACCATTGAGGACGATACATTGTTGGTCTGTAACTATAGTTACCATTGAGGACGATACATTGTTGGACTGTAACTATAATTACCATTGAAGATGATATATTGTTGGACTAAAATTATAGTTTTCATTGAGGACGATACCTTGACGGACTGTTCCTATAGTAACCATGGAAGATAATATATTGTTGGACTAAAATTATAGTTTCCATTGCAGACGATACATAGTTGGTCTGTTCCTATAGTTACCACAGAAGACGGTACATTGTTGGTCTGTTTCTATAGTTACCACAAAAGACGATACATTGTTGGACTGTAACTATAGTTACCATTGCAGACGATACATTGTTGGTCTGTTTCTATAGTTACCACAGAAGACGATACATTGTTGGACAGTAACTATAGTTACCATTGCAGACGATACATTGTTGGTCTGTTTCTATGGTTACCACAGAAGACGTTACATTGTTGGTCTGCTTCTATAGTTACCACAGAAGACAATACATTGTTGGACTGTAACTATAGTCACCATTGCAGACGGTACATTGTTGGTCTGTAACTATAGTTACCACATAAGACGATATATTGTTGGACTGTAACTATAACTACCATTGAAGACGATACATTGTTGGTCTGTTTCTATAGTTACCACTGCAGACAATACATTGTTGGACTGTAACTATAGTTACCATGCAGACGATTCATTGTTGAACTGTTCCAAAAGTTACCATTGAAAACGATATAATGTTTGACTGTAACTATAGTTACCATTGCAGACAATACATTGTTGGACTGTTTCTATAGTTACCACAGAAGACGGTACATTGTTGGTCTGTAACTATAGTTACCACAGAAGACGATACATTGTTGGACTGCAACTATAGGTACCATTGCAGACGATACATTGTTGGACAGTAACTATAGTTACCACAGAAGACGATACATTGTTGGACTGTAACTATAGTTACCATTGCAGACGGTACATTGTTGGACTGTTCCAATAGTTACCATTGAAGCCTTTGTGGTCAATATGCCTGCCGTTATACAAATGAAGAAATTCTTCACTGTCATTTTACCTGTATCTCTCCTTTTGAGGGATGTGTTATCAAATTGTGGGTATAGTTACTATTAAATAGTTTAGTTTTAGATACTCTTAAAGCCCGTGTTTTATTAAACTCTGATTATAATTACATGTACTATAGAGGCTTGTTCTGTAGTTTTCTGTGATAATAGCTACATGTACATGTAGATTTGTGGTCTGTGGTTAAATTTACTGTGGTTATAGTTAATCTGGAATCCTGTAGTTTATTGAACTGTAGTTATACCTACTCATAAGGCCAGTGGTTAACTAAACTGTGGTTAAAGTTAATCTGGAAGCCTGTAGTTTATTTAACTGTGGTTATACAATATAGTTACTTATAAGGCCAGTGGTTTAATTCACTGTGGTTATAGTTAATCTGGAAGCCTGTCAATCACTTGACTGCCACGTTTGGAACTGCTGCTGTGACAATTCTACCAGAAACCATCAAAACCATTGAACAAATTAAAGTGCATCTACATGTAGATCAGGAAAGAGCTTGATGATATAAAGTTGTGCGCCATAATGCTGACCTTGATACAGATCACACATTATCTTAATGAATGTGAGAAACGAAACATTTTACCAGATACAAGAAGGGAATCAAGGGAAACATGAAAGACCAAATTCAAAACAAAAACAAGGTTTAAATTGTAACAAAAATGAACGTTTAAAAAAAATGGTTTTGACTAAATTGAAGCTGACATTAACCTAGATGTTGCATCATTATGGATACACAGCAGATTTATATAACTGGTGATGGGTATTATCATAATGTAATTTGTGTCATATTGTTACAATATCTGTCACGGTACGACCAGTTGTACATTACATGACCAACAGTACGTATACGCTAGTTAAACTGTCTGGTAAGGATTTTTTAATATCATTATTTACCAGTTTAACATTGAGTGTACTTTCCCTATACAATTACTAATAACTAATATAATTAGATAGAACTAAAAAATTTTTTTTTTTAATTTAAAAAAAAAAACCCCCCCCCCCCCCCCCCTGCCCCCAAAGAAAATCCCAGATCAAACAACACGTTGCCAATAATAGCTTTGGAGCCTGAAATTACATTACCTGGATTTACTATCGTTTTACAAACGACCTGGTAATGGGTTTGGTGTAGAATGATTTTTGGATATCGTACAACATCTCCACACAGAAATAGAACCTGACCTTGACTATTTTGATACAAATTATTTGATTACCCAGCACAGTTCTGTGGTGTATGAAAGCCGTACGTCTCTCATGTAATAAACAGGAGTCACATTCAGTCTAACAGTGGGAAATTATGATGGGAAAATAAAAAGCTGGCGTCAGATTCCAAATGAGGTACCGTTAATAGATTGAAATTAGATAATGCCAATAGTTTTTGTCATAAATAAAAACATCTGTATTGTGTAAAAATTCAAACCAATTGAATAGATTGAGCGATGTCAAACCGCTCGATACTAAATAGTGACGGCTATATAATCCGGCCAGGAGTCACATGAACGGGTTCAATCTGAATTGGTCGATGCATTTATCAAATGTTTGTCAGTCGAATGGTTTTAACGATGGATTATTTTTCGTTATTGATGTATATTCTCCGCCTTTTCACGGTCGACGAATCATGTTTACCATTGTGAGTCGATATCATGGAAAAAGTGCGTGCTGTTGGTTGTACGATCGTCTGACTCCGCGGTATCGGGCAATCACCTACGTACGTGTTTGATACAAATGATTAAGGTATCGCACCCGGAGACTCATAAATTCACATGCTCTATTGATAAACACGACCCTAGAACAATCGTCATTTGCTATCTCCAAAGTCGACTTTGTAGGCCGTGTCTTCTCTAGTGACTTTCCGTTTGAAGGGGACATTTTTTTTCAAATTATTCTTTTTTATCTTGAGTAAATTGGTACATCCCTGGAAAGGTCGTGTACACCAGTTCACGTTTAACAGTCAAGTTAATGTAGATTTCACGCACGTCTGTCAACGAGCGACGGGTGTGACAACGTTAGACATTCAACAGGAAATGGGGCATCAGGCACGTTTGAATCTCGGGAAGGAAAGGACTTCTTTGTGTATTTCCTGTCCTTTCATCTTCCTCTTCATCATTTTTCATTTTAATCATGAACTATTGTGTATGCTTACCTTTCGCGATTTACATACATGTATATCTACACTGTTTTAATTTTGGTCATTAGTGTGTTTTTGTATCATCACTAGACTTTTATATTGATGTTACAGTTAAGATGATTTCAAGGAAAGATTATAAGAAAGCTCATGGGCAAAACAATGGATATTTTACATGAATATAAGATAAAGATATAAAGCATGAATATTCTATGATTAATATGCACATCATCAGACAAAAACATCAGAGATAAACCATTCAGTTTGGTTTGGAAAATCAATAAAATTTGACAGAGGTGAAGCACATGTATATTAATTTTAACCTTTGTTTGACTTTCAAAACAGTACCACTTTAAAAATTATGTAAAATACAATTGTTAATGATATATTTATCCTTGCTGCACGATAAATATCAAAGTTGCAAAAATTTACTTGGTAACGGCTAAATATGAATGATAGGATAGAGCTACGAAGAAGTTTAAAAGGAGACAATTCCTATAAAAAAGACTTTGGTTTATTTGTGATGTAGCATACAACCTTAATGCAAGTACATGTTTACGGTCATTTGGTTATGTAAATCGTATACAGTGTATATCTTAAAGTTTCAATTAGTTTGTCAAACTTCTCTTCTCAAGAACCGTTTTTATTTTCCAGACATTATGCGGCGGGCATTTCCCGACGATCTGAGGTGAGGTACGATCCCTACACACAGACCATCCAACAACTAGCTAAAAGGGAAACAGTGGACGCCATAGCGTTATCCGTTCGGAATGACATCGATTGTCTTCAGAAAGCCACAAGGGGAATGGAACGTATCCAGGTGTCGTGAAACTGGACCACAATAAAGGACATAAACAAACGGATATATTACTTAGTTACTTTGGTTTAAAAGGAAAGGAAACGTTCTGAAAAGGATTTGAGGTGAACCTCGTTCTGAATTAAGTACATTGTTTGAATATTATCGTTTTGACTTGTACGTATCCTATGTTGATCCCTATGATTCTTAGTCTCGTTCAACCAGACGCTTGATCACTTGTAATTCAAGAGTCTGGTCAAACACAGTGCATTAACATTATCACCACCAGAGGACAGTATTTCTTCTTTCGTTTCCGGACGTTATGTCAACGCCATTAAACATTTCAATGAATAATGAAACTAATGATAAAAGTTACCTATACATGCATTCCTGAAGTACCCGTGTTTTCACTTTTATCGAGAACAATGTAAGAAAATGTGTCAAACCTCCAGAATAATGCTATATATTTCCATTGAATAAATCATAGCTAAGCACAAAGCCAACAAGGCTGACTGAAGTATGAAAAAAGCATGCAAAGCAAATGAGATTTTACCTGTACACCATTCAAAACACCTTCAAGTTCTCACTCAGGTAATCTGGATTGACTTGTATCAATAGCCTTGTTAGTTCATGAATTATTGTAAAATATCCAATGAAAATACCTGAAATCATTTTTTTGGAAGCATTTTCTTCCATTTTTCTCGTTAATAGTGAAAACATGGATAATTCAGGAATGCATATACAGGTAATTTTTTAATGAATTAGAATGTTTAATGTAATTTAGGGCCACTCAAATTCTGACTTCAAAAGTTAAAAAGGGTGTGTCAACCTTTGACCAAGTTTTACCAGAATCTCGGTAAGCCTCGTTATGATGTCACAAAACGAAAGCACTGCGTTTGACCAGACTCTCTATTCGGCGTAGCTTGCGCAGGCAACAAGAGTCTGGTTGAACGAGAGTATATGATTCTTTGATGTGACTTCCGGGAACTGGATTTCTCGGTACTTGATTTCCGGTTACGGTGACGGTGTAGAAATTCATTCAATTTCTTTTGGTCGATTGATAATAAGTTTGCTGGATGAAGTTGCTGACAGTCGACTTCCGAATCAAATCATACCCTATCCCCTCCACACAATACTTGACTGGAATATTTCTCACATTTCCCCCGCTTTATTATGTTGTAAAAGTACGGTTGAACATATTTTAGCGCGTTTCACATAACTTCAAAATCGCTAAATTGTAATAACCGTTAAACTTAAAATCTCTGTATTCCTACATATACGTACCATGGATAGTGGAAGTGCCTAATCAAGTTGATTATTAACGGGACAATTGTATCTAATACGCGGGATTATGACTTCACAGACAAAAGTACATATTGGGTCGTTATTTTTTTTTATCGAAAAGGTAGGCCTACATGTAACACAGATTTAAATATCGAAGTTGTAACGTTTGACCAGAAAAGTTTTTTTTTTTTTTTTTTTTTTAATTCCAATTGCAAGGAACACTAGAGTTACTGTCAGCTATTGATGGCTAATAACAAAATACCTGTTCTTTCTGATGTCAGGTTATAATATATGATAGCGCTAGCTTTTGCTATTATTGACGAGTTATGCCCCTTTAAAGCATAGCCGCTATCAACGGAGAATGAAATGTTTTTGTCTTGTGCGAAACGTATTACGCTTGTATATTTTAAAATAAGTCCAAAGAAATCGCGTTCTCGCTTTTCCTGTCTATCGTACATTTTACTAACTACCTACCTAATTATTATCACAAATTAGCACTGCTGAAGTCTCAAATGCTGTCTCTTTATATAACCTTTGTAAAAATATCGCTTGAAAATATACGATGCATATTACCTACCTATCTGACCAAATTCTTTAGAGCCGAAAAACGGAATCAAAAACATTAATTTTAGTTAGTCTAAGTATTACACGAACCTGTACCTTGTAATATACAAGTATATATAAAGCAGGTGTGTATTTGAAAATTCAGTTTAAATACGCAGTACTGATTAGTTCTTATCAATACGACAAAAAGATCATCTTGTTTCGCATCACCACTCTGACTTTTCACGGGAAATATGGGGTCAATTAATTATAATACATGATCATGCATTATGTGTAATAACGACTGACCTTTGACCTTCGTTTGATCAGAGTGTCACAATAACTGTTTTGGATATCGTATATACATCGTGGATGTATGCTATAATTATTAGTAAATGTACATATACGGTCAAAGCTTAAGCGACCACCAAATAAATTATATTGCAAGTTGAATAGTTTTGTGTTGTGTATCTGACCCGTATATACATGTAGCTTATCCAAGAGTGGCGACTATACCTAAGTACTGGGCCCCTTTTCAAAAAAACTGTTTTCATGCTCAAGCACAGATTCTGTGCTCATACCAGCTTTCTTGTTTACTAACTTAAATCATGTCAAACGATCAAAAAGTCTAGTGTAAACATTGAAAACAGTATTTGGCTTTGTATCTCTTCAAATCATTTCTAAATCATTGACAAAATAAAATTGTATTATTAATCCATAAGCGGTAACAGAAAATAAGCTTGAGCACAAAATCTACCCTTGAGCATGAGAACAGTTTCATGAATACGGGCCCTGATGATAAAACTACGGTAAATAAATAGCATGTACACCAAGGTCATATACATTAAGAATTAAAGAAACATTTTTTTCTATTTATGTTCGACGGAATTGAATAGCCAAAGTACATTCACTGTGACGTCAGATTTAGACAAATTTGACATGACCTTATAACATTGTGAAGTCATAATAAAAAACAACATATCGACGTGACGTTATGACAGTGTGACGTCATAATTGAAAAATGGTGACATTGTGTCGTTAGTATAAAAAAAAGTATATAAAAGAGACGTTGCAATGAAGACAATAAGTACTAAGTAAAAATGGTGAGGATGTAGACTTGAAAATGTCCAGAGAAAACGATTTTTTGCAAATATTGGTTTTTGTCCTCGGTACATGTAATATGCTAAAAAGGATCCATTTCATATAAAATTGATGATATAAGCCTCAAAAATCAGTTTCGATTTAGCCTAAAACAGATATTGTTTCTTAAATCTAATACGAAACGATAATTCATTTAAGATCCATCGTTTATGACACTTCTTCCATTTTATAAGGAGAATGTTCTCGTTTTACATTTGTCGCACGTACAATAAGTGTGATATAACTTTTGAATACGTCACAAGTAGCAAAATAATAACCCTTCATAACATGTCCCTAGCTGTTGCTCTAACAACCAAACAGCGTAATAATGAAACCAAAATAAGGACAGTAAACGTGACGACATGGAAGCTACGATGACGTCATTGAACACTTGACGTTGATAAATGATAATAATAATGATTCGAGGTTCTTATATACCGCTTTATCACAACATAGTTCGTAGGTCGTCTCAAAGCGGTTCACAAGTCAGTATCCGTGGTTATAGGGCCTTTGCAACCAGCCAATATCTTTCTCAACTCCCTGGGGAGCATACAGCCGGAGCTGGCATTTCGGCGCTAACAGCTAGCAATCAACATTTCTAGCACTGCCCAACCACGTACTCAATTACAGCTGAGTAGGCTGGAACAAGTGGAGTAAAGTATATTGCTCAAGGATACAGCACAGTGCCGTGCTGTTACTCGAACCCGCAACCCTTCGGTCACGAGCCCGGCGTTCTACCACTAGACTACCTTTGAACAGAGAAAACAGTATTGTTTTAGAATTCCGAATGGAGTCTTAGGATTTTGAATGGGCGATTTATGAACTAAAATATTTCTTATTGACTTGGAAGGCATCGCTAAAATGAAAGGACTCACCAATCATATGTGAAAATGACACTTCTTAAACATTAGATATATCTGTGAAAAATTGTAAAGTCATTTTTTGAAACTGTAAGTGAACGGGCGACTATAACATATCACTTATTCCCAGGGTACTTGCATTAAGAATCACTAACTTTCAGGGTACTTGCATTAAGAATCACTAATTCCCAGTGTACTTGCATTAAGAAAAAATGTTTAAACAGACAAATTAGCAAAAGTATGAAATGGTTACAGCTTTCTATGATAGATGAGGTTCAGATAATGCTGTTCTGAAAAACTGTGTTAAAAGACCTCACTTTTGTAGTAATTGGAAATTTTAATTTAAGAATGTCTTTCCGAAAATGCACATATGACGACGTACATGAATTCATACAGTTGCAGGAATGACAACAGACTCGAGACAGAGAAAACGGTTTGATTTTCCTAATATGATACAGCAAATCGAGATAAATCATATATCTGCACATTTCCTCAACAACTAGTATAGGTAAACGAATGAGGCACAAACTATAGCAACATATTGTGCTGTACCCTAAGTGAGGACTCTCGAGAGGGTACCATTTTTACTTTTAAAAATGTCTACTTATTAAACTATTAAACGTGATTGTTTGAGGAAACCGCTCTTAGTGACTTACATATTTTGTCTTATTAGATCTTTCCGCTAATCCTCAAGTAATGAAAATGTCCTATTCACTACATTCGTTATACGTACAGATACGACGACAGCTTAGTCTCGGCTTTTCGGGGCAGTATTGGTATTACATGACTTCAAACACAACAGGTATCCATGTTTTAAGAAATAAAAGAAGGTCAAAATTATCAAGAATGAAGTTAAATCAAACGATTTCAGATATGATATCAATCTAAAACACGATCCGGAAGGCTTCATTTACTGTTCTTGAATGCTGTGGCATGATACTACTAATGTCTAGAGCAGTCCATTGCGAAATTCCGGAATATAGCCGTATTCAGATATAACTTATAACGGGTAGATGACAGATGATACAATGCCGTTTCATGCTATTTTTTTCAAAACGCGAATGTGAAAAGATTATAATTACCGTTATACTGCGATCAATAGGAAAATCAAATCGACAGTAACATTTCGCGTAAGAGTCTAAGGTTAATGCTGATAGACAAATGCATCTCACCTCCAATTAACAAAGCGATTAAAATAAAAAGACGAAACTATATATTGCTAGTAAGAGTGATTTCAATACATCGATTTTTCCCCTTCGTTCTTTTCATTTTTTCCGCTGCGAAATACCAATATGTTATTTAATTCTTGCGTTTCGATACTGGTTATTCAATGTCTTAACTGCCTTTTAAAAAAACATTGTACATATAAATCCGTAGTTATAAAACAAAAATGTGCCGTTCGGAAAACAACAATATCTGTGGCGAGTATCTGTGGCCAAGTATCTGTGGCCAATAAGCAACAGTATAGATCAGGATTATTTTTAGCCGATGTAACATTAGAGTTCATATTCCGTTATGCTGTTGGGATTCGGTTGATACATATACAAGTGCAATATGTACTCTCTCACGTACAAATCAATCCGGGATATAAACGAACATGTCCGTCAGTCGTGCCCCTTTGGTAT